ATACCAAGGTTTTATGCATCTTAGAAATACCGTATATAGGACCTGTTCTTCACTGCATTGCACCTTGTGCGTTCATTCAGACCTCTGCCAACTAGATGTAAATGCTATCTATCTGATTTATTTTACATCCACTTTCAACAGGTGTAAGTAACTACACACGATGCAAAACAGGAGAGAATCAGGCCCTATGAAAGAAATCCTGGCCTTGAAGTCCATGGGAGTTTCAATATAGATTTCAGTGGGGCTAGGATTTCACCCTATGTCTGTAAACCAAATACATCCTTTAAAAATAATTAGTCCTCTAGTTGGAGAAAGAACCCCTCATTGAGATCAATATTAAGCTGCAGTGCTATTTTATTGTGAAATTTCAGTAGCAATAGTGGTTGTGAACAAAGCTAAATCTTCCTCCAAAATGAGATAAATAGAGATTATTATAAATATCTTTTCAGAAGTATATTTACAGCTGAGAAAGAAAGAAAGAAAGATGAGCTCCCTCATGAGTGTAGAAGTCAGGGCATGTTGATACTTTGAAATCATGGAATGGATTCTCTTGGCCAGGTTCTTGTTCCTGCTCTGGTGGCACAGTGAAGCTAGAAAGCAGATTTAATCAGCTATCATGGGAATTCCTAGGTAATGTAGAGCCTGTGTGGTGCTTCCACACCACGTCCTCCAAGCCCCCAGCACAGGGGTCTTTCCTGGAGAAAGGGGAGTGTAAGCAGGGTGGCTCTGTGCTCCAGCTATCTCCAGGTGTGTACCAGCCCCTTCGATCACAGGGAGCTAGCTGTAAATTAGAGCAGCCAAAGGGTAGCTCTTATTTATTCTGGGACTGGATCAGTTCCTGGCCAATGCCAGGATGTGGGGGGAGACAGAAAGTTGATTTAATGCCACCTTTGCGTCTCCCCCTGTTTCTGCATCTAGTATGCCTCAGATGAACCAGAGAATCTGGCCCCAGATGTGCTGTACTTGAGACATTCCAGAATACGAGCATTTGGGATAACCTGTCAAATTAAATGTATTGTTTTTTAAAAAATATTTTGAAATAGGGAAACTAACTTTTTTAAAAAGTGTTGTTGTAACTGTGTTGGTGCGTGGGTCCCAGGATGTCAGAGAGACAAGGTGAGGTAATATCTTTTATTGGACCAACTGCTGTTGGTGAAAGAGACAAGCTTTTCTTAATGAAAAAAAAACACAGTATAATGATAGGTGCAGCAGATATATTGTCAGTCAATCTCCTGTCCTATAGTATCCTTTGCACTTTCAGGGATCGCAGTTATCCAGAAGAATACATACAGCCAGCAGGGTGTTTAAGTTTTGCTTGTTGTAATTGCATCAGTCTGGACAACTGCTTCTTTTTTTCACAGCATTTCCATATTCAGTTACTAATTACCTTGCTTGTAGTTACAAAACTGACTGACAGTATCAGAAATAGCAGCAGAATCTACAAGCTGTTAGTTTTAAGTCAATTGCAATTTCAATTCCTGTCCAAAATATTTGTAAATAAATCTGCCTTCAGAATGTATTTATAATGAAGACTATACAAGACTCTAATATACTACTAAAATTAATCCATTGTCTCTTTAATATAATAATTCTATCATCTGTTGTTAGTCTGTTATTAGACACTTTACCAAAGCCATTACAAACCTAGCCTAAAACACCAAGCCTCATCCTCATTGTTAGCTTTGATAGTTGCCTCTATCATTTAATAGTTTGCGTGTAGCCAGTCCAAGTTGGCAATGTCACCCCAAGCTGATTCAAGCCACAGACATTTTTGCTGACTGGAGTCATGCTATCTTTGCCAGTTTGCTGGAATAGACACAGACAGTGATTGGGTCATGCTGAAAACATTCCTGTCCTGTGAAGCAAGTCTGTTTGTATTTTAGGTTTGCCAGGACTAATGAATTAAAAATCTTGAACTCTCCACAGTTTGCTGCTTATTAATGCCTCTGTCAGAAGGATTTTTTTTCCCTCTGAAGCATGACAACATCATAAATCTCATTGTTGGAAAGGAAAGGAAGGGAGAGTGGAATTGCGAAGAAAAGCGGAAAAGGGTGGTCTTGTGGGATAGCAAAGCCTTTGGGAAGTGCAGGTAGCAGCATGTTGCCTTAACAGCTGTCTCAGCTTCTCAGACTCTGTCAGTTTGTTGCTATGTAGCAGGTGCAGCCTTTTCTTTTATTGAATCTTTACTCCATAAAGGCAACGACAAGCCAAGGCAGTGGCTAGCCCTGGATTATACAAGTGCAGACTCTCCACTAAGTGAGGTAAGGCAACAGGTGTGAAAACTGAACTAAACTGATAGAGCTGTAACACACTTAATCTGAGTTCTGCTACAGATTTTTATAAAGAAACAACAGCCTGTTCCACAGACAGTCCTCATGAATATGGAACTGCTTTCTGGGATGCTTTTAAAGACCTCATTATACTCAAAGTTGCCCACTCCCATATCCTTCTGTCTACAGAATGATTATCCTTTTTTGTGTGTGAGGAAAATAAGTGGGAAGTTTGTACGCAGTTGGTCTGTTTCATTTCCCTGAGCCGATGGGACATTCATCATCCTATTTACACACACAGCACTGAAATGAAGGTTTCCCTGCCTTCTTGTTTTCTTTATTTTCTTTTTGATGATGGAGACCATTGAGGATTCTGCAGAAAATCTGGTGAAGAAATAATCTTAATTCATAAAATGAGATAACTGGCTCATATACAGTGTGTATATATAGATAGGATTTTCTTTCCGTAAATTAAAACAAAATGAAAAAGTCTCTTGTGTAATATTAAAAACATTAGTTATTGAAGGGAGTATTTATTTTTGCCCCCAGATCGGTGACTAAATACTGGTAATTTGTAAACATTGTAGACCACACAGTGTGTGAATGGGACAAGACCACTGATTTACTTAGGACAGTGCTCAGTTATGGTAAGCTTAAGGATTCCAACAAAAGACATCCTATCATGTTTGTTTGTTAAAATGGTATTAACTTCCATGAATGTTTTTTCTCATTTCTTAATCTGTGATATTAAACATGAAGCATCTTATTGTGTAGAAAACCTGTCTGATGATGGTTAACAGATGTGGTGCATGTGTGATACAATATGTAATGATGAACAGTCTTGTTTTCAAAGTTGTGCGAATTTGTATCTCTCTTTTGTTCTAGGTTTGTTTGAGAGTCATGTGGGAAGGGTATGTTATGATAAATAATTTTGGTTTTGCAATTGTTCTGTTTATTTAAAAAAAAAACATGCAAGGTCTCAAATACTTTTCACAAAGAGACCATGGAAGAAGGAGATCGTTACTCTAGAAAAAGTTGCTACATAAACAGACCCCCCGCCCAAAATGCATTTTGTCTGTTTAAATGATTTTGTGGTCTCTCTTCCAATTGATGCTGGTTGGGTGTGTGTGTGTTCTTTTGATTAGTAATAATAAGGAAGATGGGGTTATTCATGAGAATCCTCCAAATATTAATATGAAAAGAGGCTGCCAGCTCCAAAGTAAGGATTTTAGAATAATTGTTCTTTTTTTTTTTAAAGAAAATCTAAGCACTGTAAAACATCCACTATTTGATCAGAGTTCACGTCAGTGGCTTATTGTGTAACATTGCCACAGAGGAACAGTCTCCCTCTGCTGGCTAAATGCTCAGACAGACAAAACAAAAAATAAATGTTTAAGTCAGTGGGCCAAACTCATGCTTGCTGCTACTCTACTGCCTGCAAAGGATTGATGCTAGGGATGAATTTTGTGCATCATCAAGCAAGGCCTTTCTCTTGTAATGCTGTTCTGTTGTACTGATTTTATGTGATGCTCTAATAATTAAACATAACATCAAATGGGGTGATGCAATTTTAGTGCAGAAAAATAACCATTGCTTTCAAAAGTGTTACGGAAAAGCTGCAATGTGATTGGGTAAGAGAACTGTCTTTTCCCTTTCCACCAATTAAACGCCACATTGTCTACAGAAGTATAGCGCAGCGTTTAGCAATTTTGCTATACTTTATTGAATAAGTTGATTTCCAATTTTCTGTGGGTGTTTTACACTTGTGTTTATTTCTTTAAATGTTGTTCATGTAGCAATCCACCTAGGTGATATAGGTGCAGTGCACTGCTGAGTAATGTTTGAAGTTTGCTTAGTTCTCTTACCGCCCAATGTTACAATGATTTCTGCCTGGGCAGATCTTTCACCAATGTAAGTTCCATTAACTTCATTTAGGCTCCATACAAGGACCTGGCTCATTGCAGGATTAGGACCTCAGTGTGTACTGTTAGTGAATGTTAATTACAGCAGCTTTATATGAGATATATAGGAGTTTAAGTTGGACATCAAATACTTAATAGACTTTGTTTGGGGAAAAAACTTTTATACGAAAGTCTAAATACACATAATATAACTATAAGTGCATAAGCCTGGACATGCTTTAAGCTTATCCTGTCTAAGTTGATAGCAACTGAAGACCATTAATATTTGATGGCTATTTGGTGTTCTGTGTGAAATAAATTGGGAATTTGGGGCTGTTTCTTAGTGAAGAGTGATCCACCTCATTAAAACCGCCATTTGGTGCTGGCAGACTCCGAAGAAAGGCCACAGGCTAAATTAGGCCCTGATCCTGCAATTGACTTCCTCTAGGCAGACCCTTAACATCTGCAAGGAATCTCACTGAAGGATCAGTACCAAGGTTTGGAGAATTATCAATCTTCTGACCCTTAAATGTGTGACTGTCCAGGTCAAGGCTGAGATATGCTGACAGGACAAAGTGGGGAAATTTTCTTCATCGTTGCCTTTACCTGAACTGTGGATAAATCAAGGAATTTAGTCTCTGTCACTGAATTTCACTTTAAATTTTTTTTTAAAGAAAAATCAAATGTAGCCCCGTGCATGTCACCTTAAATTTGCTTTATTAGAATAAAAAATGCAAAAAGTGCAGCTATAAATGTGTGCAAATCACTAAGCTGAGGATGTAATGGCTTCATATGATCAGTAATGTATGCAATATTTATATAATTGCAGCTGGAACACACAGATAAACACGTAGACTCAAGTGCCCACATGATCACCACAGCAAGAGTACCTGCTGATAAGCCAGTCCGAATTGCCTTCAGTCTAAATGACTCCCCAGGTACAGTTCAATTTTATGGAATAAATGCAAATGAAATGTTTCTAGGTTTTATATGTTCTTGATCATATTTATATTACCAAATGAAGTCGAATGTCATGGATGGACTTTTTCCATGTGTGTGAATGATCAGTTTTCCTGTCTGGTAACTACAATATTGTTAGAGGAAACTAACAATAGATTAAAATCACTTGTCCAACAGCCTAGATACTGTAAAAGTGAGATTTATTTCAAGAGAATGTGGAATAAACATAAAACTATGACTGAATTACCAATATATTTCAATATAAACTGAAAAAGTGTGCTAAAACTCCTGGGCAACATTTTTTTTATTTTGTTATTTTATTTTGATGGGGAGGGCAAAGCTGGCATCTAAGCAAAGGACAGAACAAAAAGACACTTTCCCATAAGCAAAAAGGTTGAAGAATACCAACAGAATGCCCAGCTTGAGGGAAGGATTCAGGAAACAGCTGCTCAACCTGGCATGTTCCCCGATAAAGTAGCACAAATTCCATTACCGTTTGTCCTGTAAACTAATGTTGATGGAGCGTTAACTTCCCCAACGTAACCTGTGCACATGTGAACCCTTGGATTAGGTTCACATTATTGAGTGTACCTTAATTTTTGAAAATGCCTAGAGAGCTATTGATAGGCACTTTGTGAAAATCAGAATGAAATAAAGAAACCAGAAACAGGGAAGCAATGGCAGCATCACAAAGAAGGAAACTAGCTCTGCTGCCAGTGCTAGGGGAGAGCCTGGAGGCAAGGCGGAGGTGTATACAGAGCTTGAAACTCACAGGGTTTCAGTTATCATTACTTGTGAACCCACTTGCCATGCATGTTTGTAGACTACCCGTGCTAACCAAAAGAAGGCTGAGGGGGGATATGATTGCTCTCTTTAAATATATCAAAGGGATAAATACCAGGGAGGGAGAGGAATTATTTCAGCTCAGTGCTAATGTGGACACGAGAACGAATGGATATAAACTGGCCGTGGGGAAATTTAGGCTTGAAATTAGACGAAGGTTTCTAACCGTCAGAGGGGTGAAATTTTGGAACAGCCTTCCGAGGGAAACGGTGGGGGCGAAAGACCTCTCTGGCTTCAAGATTAGGCTAGATAAGTTTATGGAGGGAATGGTTTGATGGGATTACGGGATTCTAATCAATTAGGCAATAACGGCCATCGCTGGTAAAATGAGGGTCTGGCTAGAGAATCTTGCCTGTATGCTCGGGGTTCTGCTGATCGCCATATTTGGGGTCGGGAAGGAATTTTCCTCCAGGGTAGATTGGCAGTGGCCCTGGAGGTTTTTCGCCTTCCTCCGCAGCATAGGGCAGGGATCGCAAGCTGGAAAATTCTCTGCGACTTGAAGTCTTTAGATCACGATCTGGAGACTTCAACAGCAGAGTTAAGGGAAAGTGGGGGGGTCAGCTTTTGTGGCCTGCATCATGCGGGGGGTCAGACTAGATGACCATATTGGTCCCTTCTGACCTTAAAGTCTATGAGTCTATGAGTCTATGAGGATGGTGTAGCTCAGCTTCTGCTCTCAGAAGTCACAGATCTTTTCAGGTAAGTTATTCCATTCTGTGCATTCTTACACAAGAGAGTAACGTATATATATTTTCACACAGCATTCAGGAAACGGAGCATTATTATTCCTACAACAGCCTTAACTCTGCTCCGCGATTTTGTTTTTCATTCTTTGTATCCTTATTTTCTCTGTACACTCTTCAGTATCAAACTGCTTTTGTGTATGCTTTTTACACACAGGACCACATTCAAACCTGGTATAAGTAGATATAAGTCCACAGACTTAAGTGGAATAGCATCCACTTATGCCAAATTTGAATTGTATCATGGAGCAGAGTATAGGCTGTTATAGGAATAATAATGCTCCGTTTTCTGAATGCTGTGTGAATACAATCTCAACTCCAATGTTACATCCATGAAATTTTTGTCACCTTTCTGTTTTCTTTTATAATATTTTAAAAAATATTTTTAAATAAACTTCCTGTATTTATTACTACTTAATATTACAGTAGCCCACAAAGCCCAATCCACATCACAGCTCTGAAGGGACGTATAATTATGTATGGTAACATAGTCCATATGCTAAAAACTTTACAAAGACAAGTGACATATAAAAGTTGGGAGAGGGATACAATCTGGGGTGGGGGAGGGGAAAGGGTGCAAGCTTATATATGCCTTGTTTTGTAAATTATAATTACCAGTATATTATAATATATAAAGAAAGTACCAACTATCCCCATCTGCCCATCAAGCCATCCTTAACAATCTGATTTCTTGTAAGCATCACTGCAAAGGTAGGTCTTGAAGAGAGAGTTTAAGGAGAGGAGGGGAGTGTCCTTATGAATCATGGAAGAATCAGCTGCTTGTGTGAAGAGCTGAAAATCAGGCAAAGGAGGCTTGCACAATGGGCAGAGCAGAGGAGATGGAAGGGCAACGTGATAAGGGATAAGAGAAGACAGTAGCGAGGGACAAGGTTGTGAAGAGCATGAAAGGTCAAAATTCAGTAATGTCGCAAACTGTTCCCTTCTCTCACCCTGTCTCCTCTGCTCTGCCAATAATTCCAGACTCTATTAAAATTTGTAAGAAGGTTCAGAACTATGGAAAGGTGTTCATTCTCTATTAAATTCCTTAGGACTTCCTCATTGCCCACATTATCTGGCTCTCAGCATACATGTGTTATTGCAGCAAGTGATCCAGACCATCTGTGAAGATAGGAGAGAGTAAATAGGAACCAGTAGATTAAGGACCATATTTCACACTGAATTGCAACCCCCGGAGGGCTACTCAGAGGTATAAATCAGCATAGTATTTGACCTCATCAGGAGAATTCAGCACCTGATGTTAACGGAAAGCCTGAATGGAGATATCAATATCAAACCTATTTAAACAAGGCAAAGGAAAAATCACTCCAAGTCTGAAGTTTTACAGAAAGCCACATTCAAATGATCCTAGTTCAAACAAGCAACTGAAATGTCTTTTTTTAAAGAGACACTGCAAAGACATAAATCTGCTGACACAGCGTCTCACTGCCACCTTTATCCATTTTAAATTTAGAATCTTTTTTCTTCTTTTCACCTTTTTATATTCCTCTTATCCTTTTTTCATGGGAGGAGAGTTGCTTTTCTCAATTCAGGAGGGAGTTCTGTGTTTCAACTCTGACAGCATCTTGAGAGATTTAGTATTGTGATGGTACACCTCTATCCCGATATAACGCTGTCCTCGGGAGCCAAAAAATCGTACCGCGTTATAGGTGAAACCGCGTTATGTTGAACTTGCTTTGATCCGCCGGAGTGCGCCCCCCCGCCCCCCTGGAGCGCAGGGCTGCCCATAGGATTCAGGGGGCCTGGGGCAAAGCAGGGGAGCTGCTACGCTTGTACTCACCCGGCGGCAGTCTAGGTCTTTGGCGGCATTTCGGCGGCAGGGGGCCCTTCAGTCGCTCCGCGTCTTCAGCAGCACTGAAGGACCCGCCGCCGAAATGCCGGCGAAGACCCGGAGCGACTGAAGGGCCCCCTGCTGCCGAAATGCCACCGAAGACCCGGAGCGCCGCCGGGCCAGGGCTCGCGGGGCATTTCGGCGGCGGGGGGCCCTTCAGTTGCTCTGCGTCTTCGGCAGCACTGAAGGATCCACCGCCGCCGAAATGCCGCCGAAGACCCGGGCCAGGGCTCTTGGGGCCCGGGCCCTGCAGCAAATTGCCCCACTTGCCCCCCCCCCTCAGGTGGCCCTGCTGGAGCGCTGCTTTACTGCGTTATATCCGAATTCGTGTTATATTGGGTCGCATTATATAGGGGTAGAGGTATATGTAAAAACCTCACCCAGAATGAGGAGGTGAGTGAATTAAACTCATTTAATGTTTTTTCTTAGATGTTGTCTTGTTTGCCAATCATGGTGGCAGGTGTGATGCCCCGTAAGGCTGAATTATTCTACCACAGTAGTACAGGGAGGAATTTACAACGTAACCAGATATAAAAGGGGAAAAGGTGTGTTTCTTCTGGATGGTGATTATCTCACTGGTTAGAACTGCAACAAAGTACTGGGTCTGAAAGCAGAGACTGTTAACAACTCAAGAAAAGCAAGTTATTTAGTGTTATTTATCTACAAGAAGGGATATGGCTTATGTTATCCATACCAAAAATTGTTTTACTGTGTTCAAAAGTTGGCTCTTTTAGGGCCTGACAATGACCACAAAAACAATTAAAACCGGGCCAGTTTTGTGCTGTATTTTTATTATGATTGTGGGGTGACCAGGTCCTTAAAAGTCTTGAGGGAACTCTGACCAACTGCTAACAGTGATGCTATATAAAAATACAATTTTACTGTGTATCACTTAATCCTGTAGATATAGATATCTATATTTGATGCTTTTACTCAAGTTCACTAAACTGGCACTAGACATAAATTCTCTCATAGCTTGTCAGATTTGTAGCAGTTTACCTTAAGGTGTGATTTAAAACTGATTGAATTAAACCAACACAAAAGGCTGAGTGGGCAAGCTTATTTCAATTTTGCTTAAATTGATGTAGGAATAGATTTAAATTAAACCAAATAAGCTGCCCTTAAGCCAAAATAAGGGCACGTCCACATTTAAAACAATGCAGCGGCGCAGCTACACTGATGCAACTATGCATTGTAATCTTATTTTCACAGTGTTATTATTATTATTTATTTGTATTGTGGTAGCACCTAGGAGCCCTAGTCATTGACAGGACCCCTTTGTGGTAGGCGCTGTACAAACACAGAACAAAATGACAGTCCCTGCCCTAAAGAGCTTATAACTGAAGAATGAGACAACAGGCTACATGTGGATACAGCAAATAGAAGGGAATAAGGAAACAATAACACAATACTGATTATTATTTGTACCCTCACCTCTGTCCTTCCTATTGTTTGCCGTGCTCACTTGTTGAGTTTTGTCTTTAGTTAGGATATTTCTACACAGCAACTAGACTCCGCATATAGGATTACAGCATCCCTGCCC